TCTCATTCGACGCGTAAAAGTGGAAGTCTGCGCTAGTAATTTTATCTGTTGGCCAACTCGTTAATTTTACTGCTTAGACAGGCACGCATTTCAGCCACATGTGTGAATCCTCCCACAGTTATTTATGCATCAATTCATATGATAATTTACAGTTAGCTGCATGTTGTTTAAAAAAATCTTCTAAAGAACGCTGATAAGCGCATGCCATATTATATTCTGCGACAAAACTTCGATTATTATAATATGTAGAATGAATTTTGAACCGGTCAATTGAAATTAAAACATTTTTTTAATTAACATACAGCTTTGACTTTAAGTATAAAGCTGCATCCTCGATTTATTGTATTTTCTTGGAAAAAACGGTAATAAAAGCTAAAGGAGGAATTGACGTAAACGTTGCGTTCTAAAGAAAAAGAAATTAAAAAGCAGTTTTATTGAAAAATTGTTAGTCCTCTTAGAAGGCTAATAAAATATCAAAATTATTATAAAAATAAATATTATTTTTCAATAAAACTGTTTTTAATTTGTTTCAATTGTTTTAAATTTATTTTTCGTTCAAACAGTATTACGTTTACGTTAATTTGTGGGGTTACTTTGTATTTATCGCCAAGGCTATATTTCTTCAAACATCTGATATATGAAGTTAATTAAAGATGTTGATTCACGTTGCTTGCATTTTAAATTATTAGGATAAAATTTCTCGTGAAAAAGATCGATTATACGGTAAGTCGAGAGAGAAATTTGCGTTTAAGAAACTGGTACGTGTTCTGCCGAGTTCTCATAAACTACTTCGTCCCAGATTATTCGATTTATTCGACCGCTCTTGGATATTCGTTAAACGTCCTTCGTGTGAGTTACCCCAATGACGTAATCCTCGGTGATATTCGGTGTACATCGCGTACACCTGCCACGCGAGGGTTGAACCGGGCTCGGATATTTCATGAATGTCGGCCGAGATACATACATATAAATAAACATGCCAAGCCATCCGCGCCGAAGCGACTTGATCAAAAAGCGAGAAGAAGTACGGCCGCGTAAAGTGCTTTTAATAACTGGTTTGCGCGATATCCTGTTCACGGCTTATAGCTTCGGCATAAATAACTGATGCACTTTGCACGCAAGTGAATTATGTATTTTGTGTTTCTCCTTTCTAACACCTGCGATTTGATTTGCTGCCCCTCTCGCTCATTATATTCCGCACAGTCGACCGAATTTTTATCCGAATCTTTAATTAATTATGCGTTTAGTGTCCGGGGAAATAAGATTTACATGGAAAAGTTGATTACGGGGAGTGAACATCATTAACCAAGCACTACTTTTCAAATACATACATAAATATGTTGAGAATATAATAATTTTATAATTTTATTTTTTTTTTGTTTATGTTTCTATTAAAAGCGCATTAAAAGATGCACGTTATTTATTACATCGCGAAGTAATAATCCTAACGCATGCTCCTTTCTAATCCTTCGAGACAAGAATATAAAGAGACGGAATCTAATAGGGTTTTGCGCACAAAACAACATTTTCATAAGAATTATTCAATATCTACAGAAGAAGATCGTGTAAACATCGCGTGATTTCGTTTACATTGTTTTTCCCATTCTTCAAGTCCCTGGGGGACATTATAATCTGAAAATATTTTTATTCTTTTATCTACCAATCATAAGTACACTTCATTTACATATGACAATACGTCGTGCCAGCTTGAAACATTAATAATTATACTGAGGCTCGCACCTACAAATACTCACGCGATAATCATCATCGTGCGTCGATTATCATTCGAGATTTCAGATATGCCCGGTTGCAGCCGGTTACATAAACGCGATTGTCAATTATTGCAGATCAAGCTGAAGACCCGCCGCCGATCGAAGGGATAACAAAGTGATATTTCATCCTCGCTCGGCTCTAAGCAGCAATTATCTCATAAATAACACCGGCAGGCCGCTCGCCACGTGCACTCATTAGTAAACTTGACCCTGCGCCGTTTATTACTTGCTTGTATTCGCATTATATTAAATTAAAGCGATTACTTGTTTACAAGAATTGTTTACCGCAGACGGACGTGTACGTTTGTTGATTTTCAACCGAACGAATAATTGCGAATACATAATCGTTGGATATTTATTCTAGCAGAACGGTGTGTAAACCGAATTTCGGAAAACAAATGTAATTAAACAAATCTGTCGATACCCGATGCAATGCTATTTCAGCGAAATTATAACGAAATTTTCTCTCTCTCTCTCTCTCTCTGTTATTTCTATTTGACTTTATTCATAATTCTCTATCTTTATTGTTTTATTTTGTATTTTGGTTTTATGTATTGTCTTATTTTGTATTTTTTTTGTTATCGATTTTTACTTTTGTTTTATTTGTTATTTTTTAAAAAGATTTGCCCTGGAATAAACATCTCCATTATCTATCTATCTATTTATCCATTTATCTATATATCTAGAATCTCTCAATGAAAGAATGAGTGATTGTTAAAGAACTCCGTATCATATTTCACGAACATTATCGCAAATTAATCTGTTAAAAATTAAAATGTCATAGCTATTTATTTATCCTCTTCTCGAAAGATTATATATTCTCGCTGAAATATAAAGCTGCAGTATCTCTTGCAAGGTTTTCTTTTCATACGAGCAATTAGATCACCAAATAATCGGTTAAAGGTAGAACACGATCGCGAATGACATGCAAAAAAAAAAAGAATTCCGCTAAATCTTTGTTCAACTGGAAGGCTGCTCAAAGATGGGTCAACCTTTCGCCTTGCGATTATGTAAGACCTCGGACTGACTGACCTTTAGGTTCGTTCATGGCATGCGGCATTTACGTAATTTACCGATTACGATGTATTAGAGTCTGGCTTGAGTTGCGCCTGGAGAAGAGTTCTCCTTCTAACGCCGTTATATTTTCAAACGTGCACCAGATTATAGCACGCATTTATCTTCTGAATTAAGTATAAGAATGCATATATTATATTATACATATACTTATATGTACTATATATCTATAATTTATATATATAATCTGGATATGTTTGTGTGTGTATACACGACATATAAATGCATTTATACAATCTGTGAACAATCGACGTAGTAATCTTTTATGCGGAATTCAGTACTCTTTCTAATCGAGCAAAACAATGTTTTTGATCTTGCCTTGGAGAAAGGAATAAAGAAAGGAAGATTGATGTCAATGATAATGATGGAGTAAATAATATAGCAGAGAACTGGCGAACTACATTGCTCTATTTATGGATATTTATAGATATTATTTATAAATGTTTATGTTTAATGCTACTTCCTTTCTTTTACTTAGGGTTAATAGCTTTCCGCAATATAAGTCTTTCATAGCATAAGGAAAATTCAATTACAAATTTCATCCTTATTTTTTGCTCAAATTTCAATTCTTATTAAATAACATTTGAGTTAGGAACTATTTGGTGATGTAATAGAGAGGTTGAACAGTAACCTTGAGTTTTTCCACTTTTTTTGAAAAATCTGGAATAATAATAAACTTTGCAGACAATATGTATATTAAAAAACGAGACATAAAATGTATAATACGTCTTAAAGATATTTAAAGACTTTTTTTTATGAAAGATATAATAAAGATGTTTTTAAGATGTCTTACATTATATAATTTTTGACTTTGTGCTGCATGAGTTAAAACAAAAAAGATTGCAGACAAAGCGTTAAAAAATTAACATCAAAACTTTAATTTATTTAAATACTGAGAAATAATTCTGTCAATCTAAAACATATTTTGTATATAATTAATATGGTTTTAAAGTATAATTAAAATTTTGATATTATATATAATTTTATATATAATATATAATTAATATTAATTTTAAATAACACGATTAATTGATATAAAATTGATTCCAATTAGTTATATAATTCCATCAATTTTGAAATGATTGCATTGAATGTTTAAAAAGATACGTATACTTTAATGCACAAACTCAACTTTCAATATTTAAGTATATATACAATTACTTAAATATTCCAGTAATTGATTCTTTTATTATACAAAATTTATTATGCTCGAATATATATACTGTGTTATTTATACGTATCTCAACTGTAAACTGACAAACCTAGATGTATTAAAATTAATTCTGACGCTAAAATTTATTACGCAATGATATACTCATGCAGGACATCCAGAAATTCGTGAATTAAAATATAATTAGTTTTCAAAAAAAAAAATGAAGGGAGAAGTTATTTGTAAATTTTTATTTCAGTAGTTTGTGAAATAATAGGAATACAAATATATCTATGTATAGCTAATTATGAATAATTATGTTTATAGACAGACTGCGTTATTTAAGTATTGACTGAAGTGCATGCTTATCTATTAATACACTGCACTGATTGTGAGAAAAACGTCAATCAAGTATTACGAAGCAAATATTACTTATGATGTTTTCGATATTTATTAGTTATAAGAAATTTAATTGTGATGAAATATATATTCCTGTAAAATATATCTCATTAATTGTAAAAAATAAAATAGATGGCTTTGCGCTTTATTTCGCCCTATTTAAATATTAAATATTTAAATAAATTTTTTTAGTGACATAAATATAATATATTTCTCATAAATAAATTTTTTAAGTACCTTTTTCTCAGTGTATCGCACGCGCAATTCATGGACAGGTAGCCGTGATCTGAATGTAATTTGTAGGTATCTATAATTGGCTATATTTAAATCTGTATATCCCAAAATTATTAAAGTAAAATGTACACAAACACTTTTTCTTAATTTTTTGAAAATTTTGTTATTATGATATATTTTAATTCGCAAATTTTTAAATACTCTGTATAGTAAAGTAAAAAAAGCCACTATTTTGAAGAACAAGAGTGCACTTTTCTCTTTGACTGCAGCGCCCTCTGCGGCATTATCAAAATGTAAAGCGGCTCGCAAGGGTTCACGTTTACCGACAGGCGCCGGCCGCTCCGTTAATGTATTTACGTTCGTGCGTTCTGCTCACCACGTGTGTTGCGATCAGATGTTTCGCGAGGTGTTTTTTTTGCGTTGTAGCAGGTGTCATTAACAATAATCACTGAACTTTCGTGTCGCACACGTCGCGCAGGATGTTGGAATCGACTGTCCAAGTCCTGGCAAGCGGTAGGACGATCTTGGCCAGCGGTTCCCCGAGACGGCAAGACATAATGAGACACTTGGTAAACAATCGTGCAGAGAATCATTTTTTTAAGCGCTCTGTAAACGATGGATCTAGATGATTGCGCAATAATCGTTCGGGTAGACTGTTAATCGCATTAACGTGAATAAATATTCATCCAGCGCATAAACGCAGAAGTGGTGCCGTCCCTCTATGATGAAAAGCTTGACAGGTCCAAGTATAAAGGACATGGGGAATATGTTCAGGACATAGCCAAGTACAAGGTACACGAAGTGTATGAGCGCCTAAAAGGGGATCTGGTGCCACCGTCTCTGATAATAGGAGGAGACACCATGGTGACAATGGGCGACGTCATTTATGGAAAGCCTCGTAGCGAAGTGGAAGCTTTTCAGATGTTGTCCAGGTAATAACTCTTATTCTCTGGATTATTCATATAATATACGTAGTATGCAATGCATCTTTCTTAGCTTAGCGAATAAACAACACATTGTCTACACTGGCGTGTGTCTGAAAACACCAAAGAGCGAACTCCAGTTTTATGAGGCTGCCAAAGTAAAGTTTGGAGATATATCGGAGAAACAAATCAGAGAGTATATTAAAACTGGTGAGCCTATGTGAGTGTAGCTTATGCATTGCCATATTGCATTGCAATATTCAGAGTGTTTACTATCAAAATCTGAAAAAAAAACTTGAAATTATTAAGGAATTTCACTTTTACCTTTGAAAATCAGGGATTGTCACAGAATTTTATCAGCATTCAGAGAAATTTTCAAAATTTTACTTTTAAATGTAAATTCTGTCATTTTTTAAAACACTCCTTCATTATTTTTTCAATTTACTTGATAAAACAATTTTACTGAACAAATATAAAAAACAATCGGTTAGCATTAAATAAACATACACACGCGTACATTTATGTACATTCTTATGTACCTTATACATTTTTATAAAAAAAAGAAGAGTTAGAAGACAATACACAGTAGAAGAAAGTAGCTCATTTACACTCACATATACATAGGTCAGTATTGATATTTCATTTTTACTTCAAAATCGTTTTAAATATAACACCTTAAGATATATAATACTATTCTGGTTGATATTCACAGTTAATTCTTAAATTTAAAATTAAGCTGTCACAAACCAGTGAGAGCCACATTAACATTTTAAGACATTACTATACATAAATAAATAATTACTTATTTCAGAATAATTCAAAAGTTCATACATCTGCAAATTTATTTGAGTTCATCACAATTATATTCTGAATTCTAATAAATGTGATACTTTAAGATTATTAAATTAAAACAAATTTGATTTGCCTATTATATAAAGTCATTTCTTAAATCAATTTTATAGCCTCTAAAAAATAAATCTTTGTTATGATTACATATTAATAAGTTTTCTAAAATTTGTAATAGATATATCTCTTATGATTATTATTAAGAAAAAAATATTCTTGATCATTATCAAGAAAATATTCTTTGCTAAAGATAATCATTATTTTAAAGAAAAAAAAGTAAATTGAGTAAATCACTTTTCTTTGTAAGAGTGATGTTTTTCTGTGTGTGTTCTTATCCTATAGATTTTGCAACTTCAATTATAGAAAAGAAAAAATGTAATCTTGTAGAATCTCTGTTTTCTATACTACTAATAAATTACAATATATAATTTGTTTGCTTTACTTGCATTTCAATTTATTTCAAAGTTGCAAACAATAATTTAAAATTCTTTAATCCTAGGATTTTAAGAAGATGCTGGCGTCATCTGTTTTATTAATCAAATACAATGTATGATTTTTATATGTATTATTTTTATAATTCAGATTCCATATGAAAAACGAAAAGAAATTGGAAAATTACAATTTTGTTCGATTTCTGGCATTAACTTCTAATAGCTTTATGTATTATATATAAAAATTTTAAACGTACAAAGTATATAACTTTTATGTGTATAAAACATATGCTATCCCTAGTCAATACCAGAAGTCGATATCAAAAAATTGTAATTTTTTAATTTTTAATTTTTCATATGGATTTTAGACTGTATTAATAATGTCTATTTTTATTTAATGTTTAGATGTCACTTTAATTAATGTCTAATTTATTCTCGAGAAAGATATTAAAAAATTTCTGTAAAAGTAATACATATAAAAATTGTTGCATTTGATTGATAAAACGTAGGCAACAAGTTTTACCTGGACTAGGGATTATATAAAAAAAAACAATACTGTGCTTCTAGAAATGAATCTAGGAGCTTTGCTATAAAAAAATTGCATGTGCATGCGATATTGATGTAGTAGTATGTAGTAACGTGTTGATGTTTTGTAAATCGCATGTGTGTAAGTCGATATAAAACATCGATCTCAGAGTTCAGACGTCATGTTAAGCATTCCCTAAATATCTAGAAAATCCAGACGTTCTCAGGAAATTCTTTTACAAGATTTCGGTAAACACTCTAAATTTTGCAATATTGCATTTCGATTGTTGCGATTAGTCTTTGCATTCAAGCGAGATATTATTTCAGGGATAAAGCAGGAGGCTACGGTCTTCAGGGTATAGGGGGTTGCCTGATCGAAAAAATAGATGGTGATTATTACACCATAACGGGCCTGCCGCTGTATTCGTTGGCCAAGCAACTGAACCAAATGTTCTCCAACGTGTAGTTAGTTGAATATCGCGCTGTGCCCATCAGTACCTGAACTATTGTACCGTCGTCTCTACGTGAATAAATTTTATTACGCTAAAAGCCTCATAAATTTATGAATTTCCCTATTTGTGTATTTAATAGTCCGAACGTTGCGGCTTAATGGGCATACATTTAAACCTGCGTTAATATTGATATCGTGCTCATTAACATTCATGATCATATCGCGCGCTGTCAAAGACACAAAGCGGATCACTCGTTGGCATCGTAATTAAATTAACCACCATATAGGCTGTATATTCATTCGGCGAAACTTTCTCCGTTTCATTCATACGGATGCCAAATTTTTCCACACAAGTTCGAAAAATAGATATTCACATTTGTAAGCGTCGTATTTTAAAACAAATTAAATTTTATTTTAATTCATATCTAAAATGTATTTTAGTGAAATTATCTATAACCATTCGTTATTTAAGAAAACGAGGGTGTGTTGTATTAAACGTATTTAAAATACTATTGTACGAGCAACTCTGTACTTTTTCTTAAAAGAGTATTCCTATTTTTTAAATGAATAATATTCAAATCGTATATAACAAACGTTTAATTCCTATATGAAAATATATTGAAGAGATATAAATATGAAAGGTGCCGATTTATAAAATCGTCTTTCGAAATATAATTATATAAATATGATTAACCCCTGTAAGAACATATTTTATTTTTCGTAATGCTAAAGAAACATATGGGTTTTTAGGATTTATTAAAGTTTTTTACTATCACAGTTTTAAAAGTTTTAAAATTTTTAACTACATAAAAAATTGATACTTAAACTTAGCATAAATATAATAAAAATTAAATAAAAAATATAATATAATAAAAATAAAATTGATACATAAAAAATTATGCCAAATTATTATATTATTATTATTAAAATCAGAAAAATCCGAGTATCACTATAGAAATATTCCAGCGTCATATGTTCCAATTACGTGTTAATACGATTAAATAAATACGATTAATTATCTTTTTTAAAATAACAAATAAAAACGTTAATTTATAATTTTACTTTTTAGTTAAAGCGCTTTTTCGAAATTGGACGAATTTGTGGAATATGCAATTTGCGTATTACGTTATACACAGAAAAATACATACTGTAACGCAAATAATAATCACTTGTTTCAAGTATTTCAAAAATTAATTTATCCGTAAATCTGTCATATGTTCATCACAAGCACCAAATTTATTCGAAATGTATTCTGAGTTCTAGTAAGCTTAATACTTCAATCATGGTTATTAAATTAAAATAAATTTGATTTACTTATTATATAAAATCGTTTCGGATTTTATAAAATATTTTTCAAAAGAAAATAAATGTTTGTTTTGAGTACACATAAATGAGTAAAATCAATCATAAAACAAGGGCCAATTAAAATACATTAACATTAATTCACAAAAATAAAATTCATGTATTTTAATTGTACCCCTTTCTTTTATGATTCATTTTTAATTATTTAAGCTTTAAGCCGTTATTTGTTATTATTTACATTAATGAGTTTTCTAAATTTGTAATAATTATATTTTAGGATTATTATCAAGAAAATATTCTTTATTAAAGGAAGGGCGTAAATTGAGCAATTAACTTTTTTAACAATAGAATGATATTTTTCTGTATGCCGTCGATTTTCGTTTTTTTAAGATTCATAAACCGCGCCATCTGAGACGCCGTATCGAGCTAGTAGATCACGCATTTTTATGCCTCTTGCGAATTGCGATGAGTCAGGTCATCTTGCACTCTCGCACCTGCAACTTGCAACCGCGTTCCAAGAATCGGGGAATCGCGGTGGAACTTTACACGCATACGTAGCACAATCGTCTCCTCTCGGTGTGTACGCGCGTGTGTATGTGTGTGACAAAGTGCGCGCCGTTTACGTGCGTTAGTCTGGAAAAGAAATGGAGGACGTTTTGAACGAAGTTGTCTCTTCCGAGGATTTGAAGGTAAATATGCCCGTAGGATAATTCTTGTTTTGCCGATATCACGGTCATTCCGACATTGTTTCTCGCGCTTACCTGTCTCGATCTCTCCTTGTACAGCTGCAACAACGACGTACGTGCGAAAAGTTAGGTTAGGTTACGTGGTACTTATTTATATTTACGTATATTTGCGCGATACATTTTGTTTGTGTCATATTTTTTTTTTATTCATTCAGGCGACTCGCTTTGCGTAGAATTTCAATACGTATTTTTTACGGATTTTTAATAATTTCATCAGCGAAGCAGATTACTCGATGACATACATAACGTTCTCTTCTGAAAAACGTACATCGTACTCTTTTTATTTCACGAACAAATCGTAATTAGTTTGACATTCGTGATTTGTGGGTCGAGACGAAGTCGGGATGACTCACCGATCGGGAAATGTAGTCCAGAGTATGTACACGAGTGTTGCATCACTTTGTGATAACTGTCGTTAATTCCATTTTAGAAATTCGAAACGGTATACCATGAGCAGTTGCATTCGTCGTACGTTACGCAAAAAGCACAATTCGAATATGCCTGGTGCCTTGTGAGAAGCAAATATTCAGCGGACATTAGAAAAGGAATATTGCTGCTGGAGGATCTTTATAACAATCACGATACGGAGAGACGCGATTGCCTGTATTATTTGGCAATTGGAAATGCTAGAATAAAGGTAAAATATGTAAATCATGAATTAATGTATCAAGCACTTTGTATTATAAAGCGATCTCGATGTTTGATCATTGATGTCTCTTTCCAGGAATATTCCAAGGCACTCTCGTACGTCAGAGCATTCCTTCAGATTGAACCTGCAAATGTACAAGTGCAACATTTGGAATCGTTAATAAGGAAGAAGATGGAAAAAGGTTTCCCTTTTATAACTTTTTATCGACTTAAGAGAATAAAGCTTGTAATCTATCTAGGAGCATTATCGCTGAGAGATTTCTGTGATTTTCTTACGCAATCGTACTATTTCTGGTTGTTTCTGCTAATCTTTCTGTTTTCCTGGATTGCTAAATTTTATATAGATTCCACTTAATGATTTTGTGTCTTTATGATTCATATTAATCCAAAACTCATTAACTTTGGCAAAAATAGCTAATCTTCTGCATGTTTTTGCAGCACAATCTCTTTTAATGTATATAACCTCTTCCATAATCTTCTGTAGAGATTTTCATTTTTTCAATTTTATGGTTGTTAAATCTCCTAATTTCTTCTGATAGTAGATATTTCATTTCATATCTCGCGATATACAAATTAAAAGCTTTAGCATAGATTTGATTATTTTGTTAATAACCGTTGCTTGTATTTTTTGCATTGCCTTTATCTCTAGTATTCCACACCTGTATATTCTGTATAATAAGTAATAAAAATTTATACCGACGAGACGAAAAACCCGTATTTAATACCACATCGTACTGTCATATATGTCGTACTGTTCTCCTTTTAACGATTCGCTATACTAACCGCATCAACTAACATGTTAAACTTGCTTCATCTAAGAAGCTTAATCAATATTTTCGTGATTGAAATTGGCATTGAATCCCGTTTGTTTGTTTTTTTTTGCAGAGGGCCTTATGGGTATGGCTGTTGCGGGAGGTGTTATTATCGGTGTTGCAAGTATTCTAGGCCTGGGCATCGCGATGGCAAAAAAAAATTAGAGAGAATTACCCCTAAAAGAACTATTAGAATCGTGATTATGCAGTTACAATTGTGATGTAATGTGTTTGCGCGAAATGAAGTGTCATAATTGCTGTTTGAGATTGGAGAGTCTCAAATGTACTAGAACGTTGACCAAATCCAATAAATGTAATTTGTAATGTTATTTTTCTATTAATCTCAAAAAAGGAGAACAAAAAGAAAAACTAGCATATGAATACGATATTTGTTTAATTTATATTATTTAATATTATTTAACATTATTTATATCGCGTTTTAAACATCGTGCAAAATATTTATGTTTATCAAAAGAATTTTTAATAGTGAAATTAATTATTTAATTTCCAATATTACTTATCGAAATTATATGCGATTATTTTTTTTACATTCCAAAGCTGCATATGATTTTTTATATTGCTGTGTTACGCATAATATCACTCATGTGGGTATGTATATATTGTACGTGGATATATATATCTCGCATGATCTTTTCTATTTAAAATTTTATTTACACGCGCGTATGTTTAACCAAAGCGTACCCCAAAGTGTTAAATTAAATTACAGAATGATAATATCTAAGAATTATAAATTTTGTACATAATTAGGGTTGTATGTGTGGATTTATGTTGTTATTGGATCCTTTTAATAAAAGTCAATGTTTAAAACTATATCGGGGATGATGCTTTTTTCACGCGAATTATTACACAGCTTCACTCGACGTTACCGGAACCTGACGATCCCATCGTAATGAAATTGTGCGCAATATGGAGCAACGTTCCACTTCTCATTTATGACATCTCACAGGGATTTATTTACGCGGAAAATGTAACGCATTCATTCGCAAATCACGTCAAATGGATTTTATGGCGCGGCCTTATTCTCGAGTTCAGACCACGTATGACGTTGAAGAACAGAAATTTGATTCCTTTGTAAAGTGCTGATCTATACGTTGAACGCGCATTCAGCGTAAAATCTGACTGCCCGATTCGCATTGTATGTTTACCATCCACCGTGATCTTTTGTATTACGCAAATGCAACTGCGTTATGCCAAATGTAACTGTCTGAGTCCCTTCGTGTTTACGTTTGAATACGATTACCATATTAGATATATGAAACTCAGAATCATATAGGTAGCCACAGCTAGCGTTAAATGCACCGTCAAACACAGATGCGAACATTGACTCTGGCAATCCTAGTAACAAATATTTGGTCCTGCTTATCAGTAAATAGCGTTTACGTGACGCGTGCGAAACCGCAGGTTTATAAGCAGCATAAAATAAATCATTTGAAATATCTAGAATTCAGCGATTAAATTCTACGATTAGCATAATTATGTTTGTGTAATTGACTTTTGAAAATTTTGAGATCAAAAGAGGGATAGATGGAGGAAATATATAATAGAAAATCTCTCAACATCTTTTTTTATATATAGATTTATTGATGACTTCTCTTAATATCCGTTGATAAAGTTGTTTAT